AGGGTTTTCACTCAGGGTAGACTTGAACCCATTGGCAAAGTTTACTAAAATTTCAGAAGCTAAACCAAGAATTGGATCCCCAAGTAAAGAACCCTTTGGCATGCTGAGCTCGTTATACCCCCGAATCGGCGAGCTCGCTATAAAATAGGCAGGCCCATAGAATTGTGAGTCTTAAGTTTTGGCATCAAGCCCATTAGCTCGCCAGCGAGCAGAGGGCCTCCGTTGGGGTAACCAAGCACCTCTGAAAGGGGAACACTGCAATCCTATGGTTGTCAAGGGCCTAGGGGCCCATTCCCCAATCCCAATATGAACCGAATTTAGCGACCTTGAATCTATCATGGGCTCGGGTGCTTTTTGGGATCATTTCCGGTCTGGGCCCCCTGACAACCAGAGGGTGGAATTGGCTCAAAGGCAAATTGGCATACCCTGCGTGAAGGAAAGAGCCCGGCTCACAGCAAGGAACCCCCGGGTCGCAACTCGAAAAGCAAGGTAAAACAATGGGTCCCCTGAAGGACACGCTGGGGCCAGTAATGCCCTGATTAACCCGCTGATTTTAGAGGATCCTCTAGTAAAGGGTGTGTCAGCTGGCTAAAAGTTTCCACTGTAATGTTGATGTCGGATTCTAAACCCCTGCTTCTTCAAAAAACAAGGCGGCAGAAGTGATGAACCCCCACAAAAACCAGGGACAACCCTATACTCACTTCCCGAGTGGATGGCCCCAAAAAAGAACCCGAACTGTTTGTTTACCACCAAAATGGCAAGTGACTCAAGTCCGAACCGCAACTCAGGAAGTGAGCTTTGCCACGCATTCTACTGGGAACCCCGGATTTATGAAGCGCTGCTTCCTGAATGCGGGGTGTCCCCATTAGTTAAGGACTCAACACTTCTTGGTTGCTGTTGACCCCCCTGCAAAAAGTTCAACTGTTTGAAGGTTTAGTGGAAAACACCTTTGATTTATTCCCAAAAGTTAAAGTCTAAAGATCCAACCCAATAGCAGTCAAGACTTTTGGAGGGAACGCCCGCGGATTCGGACGGAGAATCGGCCCGAGCGAGCGCCGCCTCGGGCACCGAGTTCGCCACCATGCGCACCACGGGGTCCGGGAACCGCGCCATGGGCAGCCTGGCAGAGGGGTCATGACGACCAGGAGACCCCTGAACCTCTAAACATGTCATAGCCGCTCCCCCCCCAAAAAAAAACAATGTTGGTTGTTTTTTGTTGGGAAACACGAGTTGATCAAATTTTCAGATTGAGTGCTTGACAGGTTTTTGAGTTTCTAGGCAGAGTGCCCTTTTTTCCCATGGCCATTGGCCCCGGGAAGAAGTCAGAAGCCCTTTCCCCCCCCCCCCGGAAATTCCCTAAATGGAGAAAAACACAAAGGTCCGTCCGGTTTGGTCGATTCACTTTGGTCGATTCGCTTTGGGCTTCTTTGTTGTTGCGGTAAGCCTCAGTGACTCAGATAGGGAACACGCACCAACTTACGGAAGGTACCGTTGGACGTTCGGGGGTCCTGGTTTGGACCGTTTTCTCTTGAAAGGGACCATTTCCCTGTCAGGTTCCATGTGACATGGGTGAGGGTACCATGATTTATGGTTTGCTGCTTGGGTTGTTACGGAGGGTTCAAGCCCTATCCATCTTTTACTAGCATCACCTACGTCCAGCTCGGAGACCCCTTCGAGTGACTCCAGGGTTCTTCCGGACTGCGAACATCACCCTGTTCAGACTGGCCCCAAAAAAGTACCCAAACCGTTTGTTTTGACCAAAATGATCCAAACCCAAAAGTGACACCGTTCCAGGGACTCGGTTGATTATCTAAATCATTTCTCGATATATAGAAAAAGTTCCGGTTGATATTCATAATGTGGATGGACGAAATCCTGCACCACCTAAGAAACCCTAGGGAAGTGAAGCGGCCCTTCCGTGGCTTCCTTTTACCTTTGTGATCCTTCAAGGGGCCTAAGAAACCAACTCCTGGACCTAAGCAAAGCGAAGAATCGTGCAAAATCCCAGTGAATCACCCGGAAAGCTGAACATCCCGAAGCGCGCAGCGTTTTGAGTTGCGGAAAACTAATTAAGGGTCAACCTTTCTGGACCTTGAAAGGTGTCTTCCCAGCCCTCCAAAGATAACAATCTTAGATGAAGCATTTCTGGCACATCCGCACTTGCCGTATTTAGGTCCGCTTGCAAAAAAGAAACCCTGGAACACCCGTGAAACCGTTCCAAATGCCGACATACCAGGTGTTGCTTGGGTTCGCAGAGAAACCCGCACCAAAAAATAACAACATGAAATCTGGCTGGCAGCAGCCATGATTTAGTTCTTCTGGTTGAAGCGACGCCCAAGTTACTTGGATGGGGCTTCCCTTGCACCGTTGCAACCCCTGGCTCCAAGTTCCACAAGCCGCAGCTGGAACCCAAAAACGTCAAACGCATGTTGTATCCAGACGAACCCCGATGAACCCTTCAGTACGTCAACTGGTCAATTGAAACTTGAAATATGGGACACCCCGCCCCCGAAGGGGCCCTGAAATGGCCATAGGCTTCATATATGGACGTCAGCCAGCCTTTGAGGATACAACGCGAACTCGGCAATCGCATGTCCAGGCTCCCGCTTCGTTGAAACATTGCCCAAGAGGTTGAATAGAACAAAAAACAGCTTCTGAGTTTGACCAGGGTCCCCAATGGCCATGGTAAAACCGGGCACTCTTGGATAGTTGACATCAATGACGGTCGGTGCCCTTTTGTCGACTGTTTTTGGAGGAATGCCCTTTAATGCCAACTTCCATTTGCTGAAGTTGTTTGTTTGTTAGCTTCCCGTGTTGGTTTTAGGGAATCTATCACTACAGGACATATGTTACCATTTCTTCCAGGGAACGTGTTCGCAAATGGAGGCCCTCTCGCAGGTCAACGTGGGGAATCTGCCCAGGGCTTGGGCAGACTTAGCTCCATTTTATTGCTTGTGAGGCTCGGTGAAGCGCCCATGTTTGTCTGAGGGAGGGTAAACGGGCCTCTGGAAACAAACAAATCATGCGCCCTTTGGTTCCACCCAAAAAAAAACCTTGGATATCCTATGGGTGTCCTGTAGATCCCCCAGCAAAACTTTTAAAGCTAAAGTCCAGAGATCCGACCCTTTTGCCGTTGAGAGAGACAACACCAGCTGGGGAAACCAGGGCCCTGTCCAGTTGCCACCGCGCAGCGGCGAAGGCTCGCCGTTCGACGCCAGGTACGCCAGGGTGTCTGCCAGGGAGCGCTTGGGCAAACTCGTCCCGGACCACTTGGCCTGCGTGGTGCAAGGCATGGCTGCCCCCCTCAACAATTTTAGCTTCAATGACATGGTTACCTCCATTTGCGAATACGTCCCCTGGAAAAAATAAACAACAACAATTATTTCCAGTAGTAAGTATGTTTCCCTTAAAAATTAACAGGGAACAATAATATGTTATTATTATGTGTTTTATATAAATAAAAAAGAAACAATCTTAACCACATGGAAGGTTATCATTTAGCAGAATAGACTTCACTTTACACATTATCCTCCATTTGCTTAAGCCCCCTGCAAAGAAACATCCAGTAGGGATAGATTCCTTTTAAAAGCAACAGGCGAACATAATGCAACAAACACATGAGGAAATGGAAGCTACTTTAGTAGGATCTCGGATCCACCTCCCAAATCCACAACTAAAAAAGCGTCATGAGCAAAAAGAAGCTCACTTGAAGGCCCCGGAAGTCAACGGTTCACCTCTGGATCTTTCCGAAACAAGGACAGATCGGACAGGTACCTGGAACCCCAGTGGCCATGGGAACATATGGAAACAAAGAACACCTGCTTTGCTGCTAAAGGGAAAACTCCTCCAACCAAAAGTTGACGAAAAGGAAGCCACCGGGCGAAGCCGGCAGCAGGCCAGCCACACAAGGCTGCAGCACCAACGGCAGCCCAGCGCCGCCCGGGCGTTTTCTGAGCGCCGCGCGGCACGCGACTCGACCCGTGCGTGGGGCCGCGCGGTGCAACGGGAGTGGAGCGCCTCGCAGGGGGGCATTCCATCTAGCCACCAGCAAACATGACTTGGCGCACAAAGCCCCATACTTTCCTTTTTGGAAACAGGATATTCATGCTTAAAGCCATATTAATGGGTGTGACTCCAAACTAGGGAACCCCATCGGTTTCCTGTTGGGCTTTCCGAGAAAACCACCCAAAACAGGGCACCCTCAAATAAAAAGGCCATATTGAGAACGAAGAACATACAGAATGTTTTACAAAGCCAACAAAATCGACTTGGAGCACAGAGCCCCTCACGACTTCCCTTTTTGGAAGGGCAATATTCACACTGAAGCCTCGTTTGAGGGAGGATCCGTTTAACCAACTTTCCCTCTCACGCCTTTGAAGCCTCGCAGGAAGGGCGTAGCCATAGTGCCCTTTCAGCGATGCCGCAGCGGACCACATCTCGAGCCAATGCTGAGGAAAGCCTCAATGGCACTCCGGCAATCCAGCCTCTACCTTCCTCAAATCAGTCAGGGTTGTTACGGATGCAAACGTTTACAGGGGCCTTACTGAACGCATCCCGGGTAGGGCGTCACTGAAGAGGGCTTGGGTTACCATGTGCCTTGCAGCTTGCTTTCCATCAGGAAGTGCTTGAAGGCGCCAGCGCACATCCAGCGAAACCAGTCCAAAACCCGGCCTATGGTTTCCACAACCCCCAAACCACCACTCGGAAGGAAAGTGAAGTGCCTGCACCAACAGTAGTGGCCATATGCTGGTGGTGGATCCACTTGTAGTACAATAGTTTGGGGGAAGCGGGGGCCATCTTAGAGCTGGATTTACAACTTAGGGTTCCATACCAACTCTCACGTGATATGTCCTAGCAGGATCCCCCCTTCCAAAAAGTTGATGAGTTTGCTGGTGGATTCCCATGAATTCGCGGCGTTTGAAGGCCAAAAAAGGGGAGACCCTGAGGAGACACTGGGCGACAACTTAAACCCAACCCTCTCACCTGCCCCGGATTCTGTCCTCGGAATCTGGGACAATGATCGCATCCATCTCCTGGAAAGGGCATGGAAACGCGGATCGGATCAGCAAAGCGGCCTTGCAGCAAGCTCCAAAACTACAGGGTTCTTCTCCCCCTTACCTTAAGCAGTAGGAAGGTGGGGGGTTCCCCAATTTCATTGATCTAGTCGTCCCCATACGGAAAAAACAATAAATGGACTTTCGAGGGCCCCCCCTCCCGGATTCCGGGTAGTTCCCGGGCCGGGTTGGGGGAGGGGAGCAAACATCTCCGTTCTCAGCATGGGGTTCAGCAGTGCGTGAAGGAGACTGAGGATAGGCCGAGCAGTGGATCACTACCAGACTGAAGCCGTTCTTGATGGGAGATTGGTAAGTTAATTAACTATCTCAAACAAATCATTTCGAGCGGTAAGACAAGCTTAGAGATTGATAAGGCTCCTTTTTAGAGGATTCCCCATTGCCACTTTGGGAACTGTACTGCAATTTGCCTAGAACTATCAAACTCTGCACGGTACATATGAGTGTCAAGGTGTTGCAGCCTTTCCTCCATTTGCACCAAGGAATGTGACACGTGCCACCGAATGAATGTGGCACGGACTGAATGCTGCGTTTGGGTCTTTCAGGCTGCAAGCGGTCCTTTGGTTCCCCTTGTGTCAGTTGCCGTGGGACCGCTTTGTGCAGGATGTTCCAAAGAAAGAAGGAAACCAAACACCCTTAAGAGAAAGTCAGGGGAATTGCAATTATCTTGTTGCTTCAAGCGCCACAGAAATACTGTGGATGGACAAAATCCTGCACCACCTAACAAACCCTGGAGTGATGATCCAGTAAATACGAAACAATATGGTTGTCCCATGGTTTCAAAGTGGTGCAGAATTTTGTCCATCCACAGTATGAGAAAATTACGAGTCATGACAACTCCCCATCAAAACCCACAAAACACTAACATGTTCTGAAGCAAACAGGGCTATGTGACTCCTCAGCTTCGACTATTTCCACCCCAAACCACTTCACCTGGCATCAATTTGGGGTCTATATATATATCCATATATGTTTTCTCCAAAAAAACACATACACTCACTTCCTGAGTGGACTGGAAACTAAAGGAGTCGAGACTTGTTTAGCACTTTGTGGGTGGACAAAATCCTGCACCATCTTGGGAAGCCATTGCTTATTGGTATTTACAGGGGAATCGAATCATTCCAAAGGTTCTTGGGTGCAGGACCCAAAATGAGCAAAGGAACTCCTGTGTAGCAAGTACACCAGGTCTGGAAGAAAACAATAACACCTTTTTTGGGGGGGCTGATGCTTTGGCCATGCCCTTTTTTGTTGGTTTGGCCATGGGATCCTCAAGAAAAGTTGAGAACAGTTGGAATCGCCACCCACACTTGATTGTTTGTGTAGAAATTGTTTTGCGCTAGTAAAACAAACCCTTACCTAATGGATATTAGTATTTTGTTTTTTTCCAAAAATCCACCACCAAACCAATGCAGGTGTCTGGAACTCTCCTGACAAGTCCTCCCACCCCGGCCTGCGACGCTCTGCACCGCTTTAGAGCCGCACCGGCCGCCGAACCTGAGGCCATGGACTTCCAAAGACTCATGGCCCGGTTTGTGTCGCTCGTTTTGTTTGGAGGAAGCTGGAGGTTGGGTGGCTGTTGTGTTTTGTTTTTGCCTGGGGTCCGTTTTTTCTTTGCAAGAAGCTGGAGGTTGGGTGTTTTTTTTTGTTGCCCGTCCTTTTCGAATAGAAATTGAACTATCATATTGCGGCCAAAAGGCAAGTAGCTGGTTGAAACGCTGAGCTACACCATGTCAACATAAATCGCTTAAACACCATATCTGGGTTGCTCCAAACCCAGCCAAAGAACAAACTTTGTTAGGTTTAATGGAAAAGCCATTGGTTTCCCTGAGGGCGATTCAGTCACAAGGGTTCGTCCATGGCGCTTTTGGCTCCGAATCAACTCACCTGACGATCCCCGCGCATCTCGGCGTTTGCCCGCTGGCAAACGTCACACTGGCAGCCTGCACCAAGGGTTGCTCCGCACGCGTCAGCTCCCCTCTGGTTTGCCAAACTGTCTGCCACAGGTTTGGGTCAATTTTCGGTTTTTCCACAAACATATGAAGCTCTCTCCCAAAGGTTTTGACTCTTCTACTTGGCGGCGTGGAGGTGAGGGCCAGTGTCCCTTCGACCCTCTACAAGAACCGGTTCAAATCCCCAACCACCAATCCAAACCACAATTTAGGGGCCGCCCTCGCATTGGGGATTGTCCCTTCGTATTGGGAAAAACAGAAGAAGATCCAATGCATTGTCTAACCTCAGGTTTTGATCATCTTTTAGAGCGAAACAAGGCAACTTGCCAGGCGCGTCCGGCCATGTTTGCACCTGATCACAAACTGTCTTTCCAACGTGCCAAACTTTTCCTCGTGCTGCAACAAGTGCAATCATTTGACCAAATCCCGAACTTGAAGCCAACCATTTGGAGCCCCGAATTTTGCACAACACCCGCATCTGCATAATGCTTTCTGGCCTGGAAATCAACATAATGTCCTTTCGGGGCCATGACAAAAGTGAACAACTAGGGGATACCAAAAGTCGGCATTGGGCGAGTGAGAAGTAGAAGATCTTTGATCATACCTGCTTGGCCAGGCCTGCTCCATCTGCTGCTAGCTGGTTCCTGCTGCCCGCAACACGAGTTCGAACTTCTGACACGTCATTGCCCTGACTCGAAACTGGGGTCAAGCTTCATGGCAGATGGTCGCCACCCGGTTGCCCTGCACGCATGCGTCCCAGGAGCCAGGGAAAAAAAGGGCCTCCTTTTCTGGATGGTTGAGTTTAAAGGAAAGCCTTCCCCAAGAAGAAAGGAAATCAGGGCACCACTGGGCAACTGGGTTGCCCTCAGGGGACCTTTTGACATTTTGCGCTGTCCAAATGGGCACTCGACTCGGCAGCCCCCCGAACCCTAGGAAGGCCAATCGGTTGACTCGCCTGACTCCTCTTTCTCTTTGCAGGGCACCTTGACGACCATCCCCCCAAGCAAGGCTGAACAATCACAACACTAAAGCGCATGATTAGGAGTTCTGGTTTGCCATGCTGACGATTTCATGAAATCGACGCTGGACTTGACCAGCTTGAAACGGCCGCATGAAGCAAGTCTGCTATCAGCCTTGTCGGTGGTCAGAATCCATAGCCCAATTTAACCCCCTGAGAGAACATTGCACGTTCCATGTTCAATTTGCTGCCTCTCTCCTCCGGCTGAAAATGATGGCCCATATTTGGTGAACCCAACAACAAATTAATTAAAGCAAAAGGGACCCCCGCAACATACCTCCAAAACGGGGCACTCAGCTTGTCGTGTTCCCCATGGTAAGTTTGGGCCGGGTCGACTTTCCCGTCCGGTCCGGGACCCGCGCAACCCAGAACTGGGCACACACACACACACATCTTGCCGGGTCCAAGCTCCAACTCCGAACCCTCGCAGGGGGTTAAACCCCGTCCTCCGGCAAAGGCTGCTGCGCGCCGGCTGCTCTCGCGCGATTTGGCCCAACAAATCCTCACGTGGGACGCCCAAGCGGCGCCCAGCGACGCCCCGCGACAGGTAGAGCTGGATCGATGATCACTTGCCGCCAAGGCCAACTCACAAATTTGCCTAGCCCACCTGCCCAAAGTCTCGTCCTGAGGTGATAATTATCACTCGAAAGGTCTAAGTCCAGGAACTCAGGGAAAAAGGACCCAGCAATGAACAGTTGAACGGTCAACTGTTGGGATTCTAGTCCAAAAATCAAAAGATCGCCGAAGGAACAAGTGAGATTGTGAGTTCACGAATTCATGCGAGTCAGTCGGAAACAAGTATGCCCAACCGCATGGGCCGGAAATCGTGCTTTGACCTTCTGAATGGGTTTGTGCTTGCGGCTCCGTTGGCTATTTCTGCAAGATGCGCATCATGCTGACGCCCACCGTCCTGACGACTCCCCACCCCTAATGTCCCAACATCAATTTCGGGGGGCATCTTCAGAATCTTCATCCCACTTTTTCAAATACCCCTCACGTTGGAATCCAAAAATGAATGCAGGAACAAGCAATCGCACACTGACGAAGGGCCTATAGAGTGCGTTTTGGTCTTACTGGGAAAACCAAAGGCACAACTGGGGTTCTGGCTGGCAAGGTCCAAGCGCAAGCGACCCAAAGTTGGTGGGCCTCTGGATATCTTTCGGGGCCGCCGCGCAAGCACGGCGGAAGGCGAGCGTGGTGTCCGGCGCTTGGGCGACCTCACGGGTTGCGGCAAGTGCCTGAATCCGATACGTGGAGCTCCTGATGTGGGTACAAGCCTTGTGAGCCCTGGCATGCGGTACTCTACTATTGCTTGGGGTTCCTTCAAGAAGCTTGTGGAACCCCAAGCTCTACGGTGTCTGGACAGACATCTGCAGTCGGTCGATGCTTCCTCCCAGAACTGGGCTTCATCCAAGGCAAGGCGAGCTTGGGTAGGCCGTAACCCTTCATGGTCGAGGGCCCCTAGTATAGTCAGAATTGGCTTGCAATGCCACTCCTTGGTTGCACCTGGGAGTCCAGGATGGACAAACCCCTACTTAATTAAAAAAAGGGGTTCCATTGTCCGGCAGGCCCAAACAGTGGTCAAAGTGTGAGACACGAATGCATGCAGGTAACATGACAGTAGCAATGGCGAATGCCCACTTGCTTCTGCACAGAATGTGCTGAAATGACCACACTGCGTTTGCATAGAAAGTCTTGTGCGTGCTCTTCAATCAGAAACCATTTGAAAGCTCGCATGGAATATCTCGTGCAAAGTGGTTCTGCACAACATGTCTTGGAAAGAAACTCTACGAATGTTTCTAGAAAGGCCTGGACAAGATCTCTATGGAAGGCATTGCCGGATCCATGGCTGGGATCTCTTGGTAGGATCTCTTGACAATTGGCGAATCCTCTACAGTTTTCTCTTCGTGTGGGGGGAATCCTCCACAAGATCTCTCGCAAGGAAACCGCTGACGGTCCTGCGCAAGATGTGTTGCTCACTTCCCAAGTTGACTGGCCAAAAAAAGTCCGAACTTTTTATAACTTTTTATTTACCCCTAAAATGGTCGTTCCGCAAAAAGTTTAAAGTCACTCAGGAAGTGAGGAGTTGAGAACACATATATTGGCCAGTTCTGTGTGCAGGACCCATGAAAGCACCCGTACAAATCCTTCACAGGCTTCACGTTCGATGCCCAAAAATCGCCAACGCGCCGCGTCGCCGAGCGATCCGACCCGCCCAAAGTCTGCAAAGGGTTCACTTTGATGTTCAACATGTGCTCCTCGGTTCCAGTCTGCAAAGGGTTCGCCAATCAAGCGCTTTCGGAATGTGCAAAGAGCGCCTCCCAAAAAGAGCACCCTGCTCAATGAACCCCTTAGTGGAGACACACTGAGTTTGGCAATTGAAATAGAATCTGTGGAGGAACCTCCCTTTTGCATTCCTCAGGCTCTGCTTGAAGCCAAAGTAGGCATGGCCCCCGGGCTGCGACTGATAAGGAAATCCCCCACTCAAACGGTTGGCATTCCATGGCGCATCTGTGCTCGCAAACTATGGCTGGTCTGCTCGCAAGCAAGTGAAACACCTGCACACGAACATGTATCCCCAAACACGCAGACCCCAAACGGCCATAAGGCAAAACATTGGCACTCATGTTTGGCCGTCGGTCTCAGCGGCCCCTTCCAACAAAAGCTGAAAAAGAGAGCGGGGACAGTTGCCACCGGAGCTATGGGAACAAAACTTCCTGGTGCTCAGTAGGGAATGAGAAATGGAAAAGGAAACCACCAGTTGGATGGTTTATAGATGCCTATCGCACCAGCAAGAAAGCCTTTCAGGAATGAACCCAGGCATCAACCCCTTCAAGTTGGATGGCTTTTCTCGGGGGGTCGTTCCATGACTTACCCCTTAAAACTCCAAGCCCTGGGGTTTTGTTCTCACCTTTTACAGACACTTTTCGCCCATACCCCCAGAAAGTTACGAAGAGTTGTGGGCCCAGCGAAGGCCGCGAGGTGGCTGAACTTCTCGAAGCTCGGCCTGGCAGATCAGATCTTCCCCTAAAAAGACGAACACGTCAGGAGAAGAGACATGTATCCCGTTAAAGGGCCCGTTTTTTAGATCCCAAGCCCGTAAAGGTAGGTTTCCCTTTGAAATATTTTCTTTTGGTTTTCAAAGGGTGGTTTCTTTGTCCTCTACCCGCGCTAAAAGTTTAACTTTTAGTGGGTTAAATGGAGATTACCACTGCCACTAAACACTAAAAGGCTGAACACCTAAGGGGATTGCTGGGAGCCGCCAAGAAAACATGCAAGACACTGTTCGCCGCTAGCCCCGGCCCGCCCAGGTCCCTCACAAGCCGGCAGCACCGTGCATCCCCATATGCCGCAATCACTCTCCACGGCTTCCTCGGCACATGCTGAAACCAACCCGCAGCAGGATTTGCCTACGGTCCATGAGGAGCCCAAATAAGCCCTTTATGAGGCCGTATTAAGGGCTTATTGAGGGGACCAATCATTTTGCAGTTGTTATGACCATGCAAAATTGCATCTTATGGGTTCTTATACATATTGGACTTTGAGAGCGAGCAAGCTCTCCAAATTGCATAATTTCCCTTTTGGGCCCTATGGCTATGTTTGCGATAGCAGCCAACAGGCGCCAGTTTGAGAGGATGTCCCAATATTTAATGATTATCAGCTTGATTCAATATTGATTTGTGAATGAATCTATTTCATTATTTACTGTTGAATGCAATTGTTTAACACTTTGATGTAGCCCTGTTTGCCTCAGGGCCTCAGGGAGAGGTAGGAGGCCAGTAGCTGCCAAGTCTCGGGTGATGCAGGATCTTCTCCACAACCGCGCCTGCAACATGTGCCACACGCATGGTGCAACTACCTAGAGTCTTGATGACCCTTCAAAAATGGGTCCATGACCCCTTTATTTTGGGTGATGACCCCTTTTTTTAAGGGTCATGGAGACTCCAGGTACCCCGAAGCCAATCTTTGTTATATACCTGAAACGAGGTCTTGAAGTAGGACCTTGGGATTTCCCTGGAGTGTCCGATGTCCCTCTCAAAATTGGAGTACTGGACATTGTGACCGAACCTCATACTGTGGATGGACGAAAAAAAGCCACCTAAGAAACCTGCTTTCTGATGATCCCCCAACTTAATACCAACAAACCATCGCTTTCCATGGTTTCCAAGTGGTCCGAGGCGGATGTCCTCCACCCACACGCCGACCATCCTGTGCTTTGCAGCTGCAAGCCATAAGGCGCCGGCGGCTACTGACGCTGGGCTGGTCGACGCCTGGAAGGGCGAACAAGCTTGCAGCTATGGCTACGAGGGAGGCACGCACCTAGAAGTCTTAACAGGTGCCAGAGTCCAATTGCGCCTTGGTTGTCAGAAGCGGAATTCCATTCCATTTTGTAGGGTTGGGGAGGCTAAAGATCCAGCTGAATAGAAACCCAGTTGCTATTTGCACCTTGGGCACTCCAATGAGAATGGAGTACAAAGCTCTGGTCATTCCCGAGACAGGGTTGGTGAGAGGCACCCTGGGTAATGCGAACTGGAGCTTGACAATTCAAGAGGGTATCCGGATTTATGGCTGGAAGCAAACTCAGACAAAAAAGGAAAAAACAAAAAACCCAAAAAAACCTGACAGGGCAACAGACAAATCACCAAACATACCGTTTTGGCTTCCCCAACCCCCAGTGGTTTTGGGAAAAAAAGGCACTCTTTGCTGTGGTAACTGCTTCTTGAAGACACCCCTCCAAACAAGTTGAACAATGCAGCACCCAACATGATGTTTCAGCACCCGAATTCGATATGCTTCCATTTACGCAATGCCATAAAGTGGTTTGAGTCTAAGTCTAAGCTGTCAGAATGCGACCCTTCGGTTGTCCTTCCCTCAAAACAAGCTACTGGTATGTCTACTTAAATTGGCCATAAATACCAGTCAACAACCAGGGTTTTGCATACTGTGGATGGACAAATCCATTTCGCACCAGTTAGTAGGTGGTTCCCAGTATTTTCTCGGATTTCGTCTATCCCAAGTAGTGCGAAGCGGATTTCGTCCACCCACAGCAGGTACTCAGGAAGCCTTCCGGCCAGCGCCCTTCTGCCACCCGCGCCTGCCGTAGCAGCCTGCAATGCGCAACCAACCCCAAACCCTGAAATGGGTGTCTTTTGTTAAGGCACCGCCTAAAATGGTTGGGATTCCCTTGGTTTCCTTTCAAACCAACCCCAAAAAGGGTACCCTAAAGAAAGACATACCCAAATCTACCGATTCTGAAAAGTTTGTCAACTCAGGCAAGGCCATACAACTCACTCTAAGGGCCATAAGGGACATGCCACAGTCCCGTACGGGCACTGCTAACATGGGTTGCTGAGTTAGACCAAGCCCCAGTTGCCACCCCTTCTTGGGATTCATGGCTTTTTAGTGAGGACACAATGCCGCTGAACAGCTTAACTGGGCCCCCTTGGCGCTTCTTGCACTTAAGGACAACGTGTCCGCCATGAAACCAACAAGTGGGAAGTGGGAAATCAACAGGATGCCCTTAACGAGATCTATGAAGTGCAGACAAACTGGTCCACGCCACCGCCGAACCAAACAACCAAAACATGCCGCGGTTTCTGAAAATGGTAGACCTCCTTTTGGTTGGTATTTGAAGGAAAGCCAAAAGGAAACCAAGCACCTGGGGTCAGAAACGCCCATGTATCAAACTGGGGCCCTATGCTTCAGAGATCTTCGGGCAGCCAAACACTGAGAAAATACAAATGATAATACTAACGGGCTAGCAAATAGAACATATATTTTCAGTAAATGAAAATGCAGATTCCAAAAGTCTTACAAAACAGACTGACAGACAGTAAGAACAAATCGAAAACCAACAGTTAGAATAAATCCAACCAAACCAGTTAGAATATTTCGACACGGATAGAATATTTCAAAACAAGGGTGTCTGTTATGAACAACTACTCTGCAATAAATGTCCTAGCTAGCCCAAAATATACGTGAACACCATTGGGGGGGACAGGTAGGGTATTTGCTTTTGGCAAGCCTTCATCAGGTGATTCATCGTGTGCGCAAATTACTAGATATAGAGATAGTAAATATTGGATTGCTTATTGTTTGAGGGTACCCCAGTACATTCCTAACAAGGGGTGGCCTTCCTTTCCCTTTAACCCAACCCCAAACGGCACCGAGCCCAAAACATGCATGAACACCATGGGGGCGCACGGTTGGAATACTTGTTTTTGGCAAAACTTCATCAAGTGATGAATCGTCGGCATAAAAACAGATATAGAGATAGTAAATAGTGATTCGCTTATTCTTTGAGGGTCCAAAAGCATGGCCTTCCTTTCCCTTTAGCCCAACCCTAAACGGTACCGAGCCGAAACTAGACATGAACAGCATGGGGGGCACAGTTAGAATGTTTGTTTTTTTGCCGGGAAACCTTCATCAGGCGATTCATCGTACGCACACGTGAATATATATATTTATGTATATATATATATATCGAGATAGCACGCATTGGGTGGCTTAGTTGTAAGGGCACTTCAGTACACTCCAACAAGGGGTGGCCTTCCTTTCCCTTTAATCCAACCCCAAACGGTACCGAGCCCAGAAAATACATGAACACCATGGGGTGGCACAGTTAAAATATTTGTTATTGGGCCGGGAAACCTTCATTGGGCGATTCATCGTATGCACACATAAATAAATAAATATATATATATATATATATGCATAATAGATATGGATTTGCTTATTTGTGAGGGTACCCCACTATATTCTAAAACGGCGTGGCCTTCCTTTCCCTTTAACCCAACCCCAGACGGTACCGAGCCCAAAATACAAATGAACACCATGGGGGGGGCACCTTAACCCAACCCCAAATGGTATCGAGCCCAAAATACAAATAAATTCATGTAAATTCGGTACCGATTGGGGTTGGATTAAAGGGAAGGGAAGGCCACCCCTTGTTGGAGTGTACTGAAGTGCCCTTAAAAAATAAGCCATCCAATGCTTGCTATCTCTATGTATATATATATATAATACTGTGTTCATACGATGAATCGCCTGATGAAGGTTTCCCGGCCGAAAAACAAATATTCTAACTGTGCCCCCCCATGGTGCACCATGGAGTGGCACAGTTAAAATATTTGTCATTGGGCCGGGAAACCTTCATTGGGCGATTAATCGTATGCAGCATAAACATATATATATATATGTATATACATAGTAGATATGGATTTGCTTTTTTTGAGGGTACCCCACTATATTCTAAAAAGGGGTGGCCTTCCTTTCCCTTTAACCCAACCCCAAGCGGTACCGAGCCGAGCCCAAAATACAAATACAAATGAACACCATGGGGTGGCACAGTTAGAATATTTGTTTTTGGGCCGGGAAACCTTCCACGCAATTGATCGTATGCACACATTAATGTACATATATATATATATGTATATAAAGACCCTGGACATCGGCCATTGATTCTAATCAATAACTTTCGGTTCCTATTGAAACAACCTTTTTTTCGATAAAAACCAATTGATTTTAAGAGCTCTAAAATCAATACCAAAGCCCCCCTTCAAAATCAATAAAAAACAGCTCACAAAAAGCAAGCCATACCAATAACAAAATCAATAGAAACCATAGCTGTGCTATTTGCCAATGATATGCAAAATCAAAAAGCAGTGACAGATATAATTGTTTACAAAGGGTTAAATAATTTCATTTCTAGTTTGCCCCCATACTCATGGCCAAAATTGGTTGTTGTGGAAAATGCAATACGTGGCCAGAAAAAGCCAAAACTTTTAATTTACCATTAACAAGGTCTTCCCAAAAAGTTTAAAATCCAGGAACTGAGGGAGTGAGCTCCTATTAAAAGCGGCAGTGTTCCCTCGAAAAGTTGTCTGAGTCCCCACTAAAGTGGGACAGTTCCCAATCAAAATCGACCAGGGGTTTAACTTCAGCCGGGGTTCCCACTACCCTCCTGTCCACTAACATGGAACCCACCAAAGGGCTCCTCCTGGCTTCTAACATGTGCTTGTTTGTTGTGTTTTTTTGGTTTTTTGGAAATTCTCGAGGTGTTGTTTGAAACCTTGCACTTAGGGTTTGTTGGGAATTTCTATCTGGGATATGGTTGCCGACATTTTCTCTGTGCTGCGTGTTTTTGTTTGAACTTTTGGATATAGTGCATGTACTGATGGTTTGTTTGGACGGTTGCTGACATTCCATGTTGTTTTGTTGTTCTTTGTTTGTTTGGACTTCTCGGGGTTTTTGGGGAATAGCACGTACTGAGTTTGCTATCGGATTTTTATTTGGGACGTGGTTGCTGACATGTTTGCTTTTGTCTTTGAATCCTCGAAGTTTCTTGGAAGCTCTAAATTTACTCACCTCAAACAAAATAAACACGGGACTTGGTTGCTGACATGTTGTTTTTATTGCATCGTTCGTTGTTTGGAAGCTTGCATTTACTGTGCACTTTGGATGTCCTGGAGTTTTCTTGGGGGTGTCCCATCAGAATGGGACTGCCCCTAAGTTACTATTGACAATTCCAAGTTTGATATTGCAAGACTTACTAATCGATTTCCAGTTTATTGCCAATCCTAAATTTAGTACTGCCAAGACTGAATCTTCGATATACACTGATTTGAAAGTAGATGGCTCAACCCCAGTTGCAAAAAACAGTAGATGGCACATCGGGTTGAGGGGTCGTTTATAAATAGTAGATGGCGCTGGTCTGCCTGAAAGCTGGAACGGAGCCATCTACGATTGACAAAAATCATGCGTTTCAAAAACCTGCGCCATCCACTTTAGACAGCCAAGACAGCCAAGAAGGTATGTTTCCTGGTCGTTGAGTCGAAATCCTTTTTCAGATGTCGATCTGAAGTGACTTTGGTCGTGGCACTCACCCCCCCTCCTTCAAGCATAAAGGGGTGCGGGACAATGTATCGACCCTGTCTTGACTGACCGACGCATTTGGCCTGTCCCCTCGATCCAGCCCGGCAAAACAAAGGTGATGGCGCATTTTTTCAAGTAAGAAGGGGAGGCCCAACTCCTCCAGCCCCGCCCTCCCGAGCTAATCAGACTGTGAGAGGGTCATATTACAAACTATAGTAATATAGGTCAGAGGCAGGGGCGATGGGCTGGGTGCGCAAGTGGTTGGTGAGCCATGGAATTGGCAGTGTGTACAGGCGGTGCTCCTGACCCTTCGGGGCGATGGGCTGGGGCTGGTCATGGCAGAGGGCGGCAGAGGGGCAGAGCGAAAGTTGAGCGCTGTCGTTGGACGCTGCTGACAGAAGTGGATGGCGCAACCTTGCTCTTGAGCCAGCTCCTGAGCCTTCGGCCGCAGTGATGGCAGGTTCTTTGCGTATGCCCCGCAAAAGGAGCTGGAAACTTTGAAAGTGCACGCGCTTTGCCAAGCGAATCCTCCGAGTACTCACTTTAAACAGCCAGAACCAAATCTAGTATTGCCAGGACCAAATGTAGTATTGCCAGTATCAAATTTAATATTGCCAGCACCAACTTTGGTATTGCCAAACCTAAATTTAGTTTTGCCACCACTTAATTGCGTATTCGTGCGAGAAAAAAACAAGTCCCTGGCCACAGCCGCCCAAGCCGGGTGTTCAGAAAACCAAACAAAAAGTTGTGCCATCTACTCTGGCCAGAACATGCCCGATCATTTTCCGACAATTGATAAGTACTCAACTCAGATTCCCACCTCTTAAATTTGACCCCTCTTGATTGTCGTATACATTTGCTGTCAGAGATGGTCAGGGATGGCACCCCTTTTCAGTTCACAAAAAACACGAGCGTATTGAGAGCAAAATTGTAGAGTGTCAAATCAATAAAGTCTTATAATCCGGGCGTATTTGTTTGATTATATCAATAGAAACCGACGAAATCAATATATATAAAAACATACTCATTTCTATTGATTAGAACCAATAGCCGATGTCCAGGAGAGATAGCAAGCATTGCATTTTTTCTTAATTTATGGGGTGCACCACCATATTCCAGAAAGGGGTTGCCTTCCCCACCCCAAACGGTATCAAGCCTTAAATATTCATGCACACCATGGGGTGGCACGGTGAGAATATTTGTCTTTGGGCCAGGAAGCCTTCATCATGCATTCAATCGTATGCATAAATTTACATATATATATATATATCGAGAAAACATGTGTTTGCTCAGTTTTTGAGGGTACCCAACTATGTCCCAAAACGGGGTGGCATTCCTTTCCTTTTAACCAAGCCCCAAACGGTACCGAGACCAAATATGAAGACATGAGACAGTTCGGGTAATCCGAAATCTTGACATTTCTGTGCAAATCCTTGGAAGTGGAACAAACAAATAGAATAATTTGTGTCAGATACAAAAGCTGCGAGGTCTGGAAAATGACCTTTGAAAGGAGGTATTGGCAATGCTAAGTTTAGTCCTGGCAGTCCAAAGCAATTCGAGAAGTGTGTTATCAGAACAGGATTCTTTTGAAAATCTACGGCCCTTGCTGAATTATTCTATTTGATAAAAATATTAGATTTACTATTGGCAGTACTGAAATAAGTACTGGCAATGCTAAATTAACTACTGCGCCAAAGCTACCCCCTCTTCTCGTAGCAAAAAAACACTTCCAGGATTCGTTTTTAAATAACGAATTTTACAGTTCAAATCCTTGCTGAACTGTATATACTAGGTTTAGCATTGGCAATCCAAAGTTTATCTTGGCAATGC